AAAAGGTGTTCCTGATAAAATATCAGGTTTTTTTTAAAGTAGAATATAAAACTTTATATAGTATATACCATTTTTGTAAAAATTATGCATGATTAAATAAATATGCACATAGGCATAATAGAAAGAAATTTAGCAAATATTCACACTGCTGTTCTTGAAGAGGAAGATAATGAGTAGTAGCTTTTATATTCTTCCCTATGCCCTTAGCATTTACTCTATTATGCTATCCTTTACTATTTGTTTTGTTTTTACTTTTTTTATTTATTTCTTTTTTTTTTTAAGATTTTAATGGGGAATTGGGAGAGGGGAACATTGCTGGGGAATTGGGGGAAGGGGAACAGACAAGTTGCTGTCGTTTTGTTCTTCAGTCTAGTTGTGGAGGAGGTTGCTTCACTGGCCCAAGTTGGCACCATCATTGCGCTCTTCCCGGGTGAGGCAGATCAGTCGCCGGCTTCTGGACCGCCGCTCACCGCGGCTGCTGGCCGCTCACGGTAGCCCATGGCAACCCACTGCTACAGGGGCTGCAGCCTACACCGTTGCCGGCGACTCACAGCAGCCCAGCTCCAGGTTGAGCTGTTGTCCAGCATCTTAGCTGTAGAGGGCAGTGTCACTGGCCCTCATATGTGGGATCCGAACCAGGGCCCTCTGGTCCCAAGCCAGTTCTTAACCAATGCGCCACTCGGCCGGCACTTCTTTTGTTTTTTCTACTAAAACACAGCCTCAATGATGACAGAAATTTGTTTCTTTTGTTCTCTGCACTTACATAATGCCTGACACGTAACAGTCATTTAAATAAATACCTGTTAAATAATAAATACTATATATCTATAAAATAAGAATTTACGACTTTATTAATCAGACACAAAAATCAGTATTTTGAAAGGAAAAAATAAATTCCCCACGACAGAGTTATTAACCTAATTCTGACCTTCGAGAGTAACAGTTGAGTTTAACCTCTCGCGTTATTATCAGTCATCCTTAATCCTGCATGAAAATAAGCAGAGATGGATGGCTATGACCTTCTACTTGGATTTGGGAGTTTTGCCAAGGTTTCCAGCTGAAATGTCAATTAGTAATCACTTGGATATCACTCATCTGTGCATACAACGTCACCCAGCCTGAAAACCCCAAACTTTCTCTCCCAGTACCCATCAGGTGACTACAGGTATTTTTTCATCTATTGTACATTGGTCCGTCTAGGTTAGTGGCATGACATGATGGCAATGAAGATACTGCCTCTCCCTTGACCCCAAATATCAAATTCAATGGTTAAGAATATTAAATAAATAGGGCCGGCCGAGTAGCTCACTTGGTTAAGAGTGCAAGCTCTGAGCAACAGGGCTCGCCAGTTCGATTCCCACATGGGCCAGTGAGCTGCGTCCAAGCTGTCCCCGAGCTGAGCTGCCACTGAGCTGCCAATAGGTGGCAGGATGGCTCAGCTGGTGAGAGCAATTGCCCCTAACAACAAGATTGCCAATTCAACTCCCATACGGGATGGTGGCTACGCCTACCCACAACTAAGATTGAACACGGCACCTTGAGCTGAGCTGCCCTGAGCTGCTGACAGGTGGCCGGATGGAGACTGGACTTGGAGCTGAGCTAGCTGCGCCCTCCACAACTAAGACTGAAGGACAACAACTTGGCTGTTCCCCTTCCCCAATTCCACAATAAAACCTTAAAACAAACAAAAAAAAGAATATTAAATAAATAAAAGAAAATTCTAAATAAATATAAAGAAAGGCCTTTTAGTCTAAGAAACATACGAGCAGCTGGTAATCAATGGGTAACTTCATCTATCAAGAATTTAAATGGGAATTATTCCTTCTGATGACTCAAAATAGATGTCAGAAAGACAGATATCTTTTCCATTGGAAAGCCCCCTGGTCTCAGCCAGGGCCTAGTTACTCTTAACTTACTTAAATTTTAACAAGGTTGATTACCCAGGGGAGATATCTATCATCAAATATAAATGCCAATTATATTTCAGACAGTTTTTAGGTACCAGGGATAAACAAGATACGTACATTCTAGTGGGGAAAACAGACAAGAAACACTGAAACAAAGAAATAATTAGGTAAATTCGGAGAATGACAGGTGCTCTGAAGACGAGTACATTGTGTAATATGACAGACAGCAGGCACATGTGGAAGGGGGTGGGCAAGGTCAGTGATGACTTGAGCTAAAATGTCCTGAGAAATTATAACCTGATGAGGAGGCAGCAGTATACAGAGCTGGGAGAAGATTGTACCAATCAGAGGAAATATCAAGTGCAAAGGTTCTGGGGCTGGAAAGCAATTGGCCAATTTTTGAGAACTAGGCCACTGTAGCTGGAGTCTACAAAGCAAGGGAAGAAGGGAAGGAGATGAAGTGACAAGATTAGGGCCTGCAGGGTGTGGCAGGCCATGTTAGAGGGTCTGGATTTTATTCTGGTTGTGATGGGGTTGCATGGCTTGAAGCAAGGAACTGATAGGATCTGATTATGAACAAATAGTAAGGAATATTAACTGCCAGGAGATAAGATAGAAGAAAAAATACAAAAACCAGATACAATCCCAGTAGACAGTCTGATGCAATGTAGAGAAAGGACCAACATTCCCACACCTCAATCACAGGCTCGGAAGGTGTCAGTGCATTACGACTTCCCAAATAACTGATATTTGTCATAATCAGTAGGGTTCCCCAGGAAACCATAAAAGTATAAAATACCACCATCATTTATAGAGCACTTTAAATATTTTATAAACTGTAAAACAGATATGATATGAAAATATGCCCTTCAGAATGGCAGGAGGGTATATTACAGAGTTTCATCTAAATAATTTATGTTTCAAGAAATAAACCTTGAGTTATCAATAAATTTAGTGACCTAAAACAACTCAATTTCTGACCTTTCTGAACAGCCGAAGTTTTAAGCTGTCTTTAAAATCACAAACATAAAAATCCACTCTCTCTTCCTCACTATTTACATTGCAACAATCAATCCAAATATAAAATTCATTCTAAAAATATGTTTTTAAATCCATACTCTACCAAACAAAGCCAGTTCTTTCACTGTCATTTAAATATATTCCTACCTCCTCATGTCTACTTAGACTGCTATCTCATTTTCTAATCCCTTTTGCCAGCACCCCACTATCCCAACTCAGATCCCAGCCCCTCGCTCTTGTCCCCATTGGGCCCAGAAAAGAACATTTTTTTTCCCCATATGTAGTTAAAAATAATCTAGGAAGTGAAACTTTGGCATCATGTGAATAAAATAGACTTCTTTAAAATGTACTTCTGTGCTTCATCCACAAAGGATTAATTTTTAACCGCTGAAAATCCAAACTTCTCAGACTTTTTTCCTACTATGTGATGTGAAGTTTGATCACCATCAAGGCGGTGTTGCCCTCTCTCTCCATTTTAAGTACATGTTTCCTTTTGTAATTAATAAGTAACCTATACGACAATGTGAATATCCTGCTCTCCAAAAATTCTTTCACTCAGTGGGTTTTTTACAATTACACTTTACTTTTTAATTATAGAGTAATAGTGTGCTCATGCGAAAGCTTCCGATTTAAAGAAACATGAAAGTTCCTTCCTCACCTCATCCCAGAGGCCCAGTCACATTTCCTCAGAGGTAAGCTCTAACTGATTCTTGTGTATCTTTCTGGAAATTTCCATGTAAACAAACATTCTCTATTTCTTTTTTCTTTTTATCACAAATGGGTTCACATTGTTTATCCTGTGCTGCAACTTAATGTTTTCACTTACATCCTGAACCTCATTGCAGTTTTCATTTATACTTTTATACATTATCAAACAAGGCTGCAATAGACATCCTTGAATCTATAACTTAGCATGCTTTGTGTGAACAACATTTGGAAGAAAAATTGCTGGAAACATAATTGCTGGGTCACAATGTATTCTTTTGATAGATGCTGCCCAATTTTCTTTTAAATCGCGTCACTTTCTGCTCCCATCAACAGCAATGCTGTTTTCTCATCCCTTTTCTCATCAACAAAGGACATGAGCAAATGCTTTAACCCTCTGTCCGGCGCAACTGATCTCACAGATTGTTCTGAATTTCTGTTGATTTTTATACTGAATTTATGTAATAAACATATATTGTTTTTACTTGTGGCAAATTAAAGTTTCATTCTGAATAAATAATAAGCATGCTTACAGGTTATTTTCATTCATTTTCAATTTAAATAAATAAATGTCATACACACATCTACTAGATGCACTGTGCCCAAACTCGTAACTTTTGCATTGCGCCCCAACAGAGGGTTAATCTTTGCCAATCTGAGGGGTGAAAGAAAAAGAGCAGCTCACTAGTGTTTTAATTTTTATTTTTGTAAACGAAATAGTAAAGCATGTTGTCACGAATTTATTGGACATTTAAAATATTTTCTCTATGAATTCCTTAAAGACTCTGTCCTTTTTTTCTCTAGGTATTTATTCCTATCGAAGAACAATATTCAACCTTTTAAGCAATGTGTTTGAAGAAATGTGTACCAGGCTTCATTATAATGTTCCTAAAACATTATTTTAGTTGGTAATCTGCACCTAAGAACCATCTCTCCCTCTCAAAACAGCTTTAGCTCCTGGAAGCACATATTTAATTTCCCTATGTTTGACACTTTTACCTACTTTAGATAGAGAATACTTTAATAAGTGCACGAGAGAATTTCCTGTATTAAAAATCTCCTTAATTATTTTTTAAAAAAATCAAATTTCTATAGGCAAGTAGTAGGAAGTAATTGAAAATTAATTAATCAGCATAAGGATCTTCAGCCAACATTTTAGAACCCTTCATTTCACATACGGCTTCTTAGTACTAAACCAAGAAGGCATTTCCAAGAACGGAAGAACCAACAACCTAAATCAAATCTGTCTACACAGCTCAGTACATCTATCTTTCACTACTGCATGAGCTATGCTCTTTCTACTTTAAAAATCGATTGCCTATAGACCCCGAGTAAAGAGTCACGTGTCAGAGTGGGACAGGAACTTGCCTGGTCGATATAAAAGGCGGTGCCCGCGCGGATCTCCCGACGCTGCTTGAGGTCGGTTTCGGTGGTGTCCCTGGACAAGGCGATGTACTCAACCTCCCGCTTGGTCAGCTCCTGTAGACAGACAGCGAAATGGTTCCAAAATAAAATCAAATTCTCACCATCTGCTTTCGGGCTGCCAAGGCCACTGCCCCAGAGAAGTGCATTTAAATGGAATGCTGAATTAAAACCTTTTGCGTCTCAGCTTTGAGAAAAATGCAATAAATTAAGCATTAACCAAAACATTCATATATTTCTCCTCAGAGCTCTACTTCTACTGCACCCCATAATTTACCACTTAGTAATTATTTACTACTGAAGCAATAATACTCAAAATTAGATCATATAAATCTTCATGTCTCCTATAGAATTCTTTTCAAATATCATGTGCAATAATTTGGCTATTTGGTTTTCTCCCAAATAGGAGCCATTGCTGTAAATAATGTTCATCTGTTTTTAAAGGTGATTTAAATTAACTTATTTCATTAGCCAATGTTTACCAACTGTATACAATATGTTACTCTACCCAGTGTGGAAATACTGTAAATACCAACAGTCAGGTCAACGGAAGAGGGAGACACATACACAGCTATCCAGGAAGGAACAGCAGAAGAAAGAGGATGGAAAGGAATAGGGGAGAGAGAGGGGAAGAAAAAAGAATTATTTCACACACAAAAAAAACCTGCATATGATTTAAGGGGAAACCATCCAGAATCCACTTCTTTTAGAATAATTTATCCATCCCTAAAGTCATTTTTCCCTACATGTAATGACTATATACAATGAGTTTTTAACATTATCCTTGGTTTTACAATGTTGAATTAAAAACAATGACATCCTCAAATTGAATAAGGTGTACAATATATTTTTACTAAACAGTGAAAACAAATTAATTTATTGGGGTAGAAAGAAATTAGTTGAATGAGCATATGATTAATGACCATTAATGTCATGTTTATTCAACTTTCTTAATACTCCTGTAAATTATTTTACACTCCAGAAAAAAGTATTTCTTCGCCATATCCCTGTGTGATGTTGATAAAATATATTATTGTTATCATTCTTTTTTAATGTGCCTGTTCCCATGAATCCATAAATACATTGGGTTGTCGGAAAACTCATGAAGTATTTTTCCTGTTTTTTGTTGCAAAAATGGGTCATGACTTTTCCGGCAACCCAATAGGTATATATGGAAAGAAAGGAAAAATGTTTTAATAGAGACACATCCTTGTGGTGAAGGTATGGTGACCCCAAAGAATGTTTTTCTAAACAAGAATGAGTTGCCTGTGAGAGCACATTGTGGAGTAAAGGCGCAGGTTCTCCTTTCAGCAGACACCTCCTTACTTCTGACACACATCCCCTGTACCTTTGTGTGTGCCTCACCGATTGGCTGAATGTGCACCCTCACTGAAACACCTTGTCATTCACACTGATTGACAAAGTGAC